GGGGTCCAGGCCCCCAGCCCCTCCTCCCTCAGACCCAGGGGTCCAGGCCCCCAGCCCCCTCCTTCCTCAGACCTGGGAGTCCGGGACCACCCAGGACTCACGTGCTCCAGTCATAGCCCGTGGGCTCCGGTTTGCTGCGAACATCACAGCTCAGGGTGGCCTCGCTGCGGCCGAGGTACCAGTTGTCATCGTAGCCGGAGATGGAGACCTCAGGGGGGTCTGGAGGAAATGGGGGGACTCACTCAGAGACAGGGAGAGCCCCAGAACAGGGGATAGGTCAGCAGAGTGACGGGAATCCTAAAGAAATGAGGTGGGTTGGCAGGCGGCGGACCCATGGAAACTGGGACAAATCAATTTGGGCTATGCCTGCAGAGGTGAGCGCAGACACCGTCCAGGGATGCCACCTGGGTCGTTTCGAGGGAGTTATTGTTCAGTGTGGGCAGTGTCTGAGGGGACCACAAAGATAATGCCTGTTATTTCTGCCACGCCCGGAGCAGATAAAGGAATTGGTTGAACCGCTGGCGCTGCTTGGGGAGCCGGCGTGGAGAATGCTGAGTTGGGGGCTGGGGTGTGTTTGGACAGGGTGAAGACAGCTGGTTAAGTTACTCTCTGGCCAGGTCCATGGGGTAATATTGGGGGTGTCGATGGAGACAGTTTGTGTAGTTTGCCCATTTTCTTGGCATAAATACTCCCCAGTGGTTGATTTCAAGCTGTCGATATGACCTCACTGGACATGGCATTGGGACAAAATGTATAAAATTGGCCCTTGCAAACCCATTCCAGCTTACCACTGATGGTGGCAGGAAGGAGAGAGCCTAGCGAAGCCAGTGTAGGCGAGGGGGGGGGGTACAGGGCATAGACGTCGCCCAGGGGAGTGAGGAGTGGGTACAGGGCGTAGACGTTGCCCAGGGGAGCGAGGAGGGGGTACAGGGCGTAGATGTCGCCCAGGGGAGCCGGTATAGACAATAGGCAGGAAGGCAGTGCCAAATTTGACCCAGAGGGCTGATGCAGACAACGCTCAGGCAGAGGGTAGACAGTTCCCTAGAAAAGCCAGTGTAGACAATACTGGGGATGTGCTCACATCCCGACACACTCACAGCGTACAGAGAGGGTGATGGGCAGCAGGATGGGCTCCTCAAAGCTCTCGTGCTCCACCTTGCAGGTGACCTTGACACCATCTGCTCGGCTCAAGGGTACCAAGGTGAATCGGCTGGTGATGGTGACTGTGCCGGGCACGGGCCCTGACATCTGGCTCTCTTTGGCCTCCCCGTCCAGGGGCGAGAACCAGGAGATTCGGGCGGGGGGGCGGCCCCCCTCGGAGACACAGCGGGCCACGGGCACAGGTTCCAGGCTGAGCGTGACCTCCTGCGTTTCGGCGTGGTTCTGGGGCTGTGCTGGGGAGAGCAACGGAGGGCGTACGTCACTCCTCACCTGCGGTCCTTCCACGGACGCCTTGGCAATGGGGCTGAGCAGGGAGGTCCCAACCACCGGGGCTCAACTCCCACTTCTGCTGCTTAGCAGGTGCCTGGCTTTGGGTAAGCCATTTCCCAGCTCTGTACCTCAGTTTCCTCTTTTGTAAAGTGGGGAGAATTAAAATGCCCACCCTGTAGAGCTGTTGGGCAGATTAAATTGATATAAAGAGCCCTCTGGACAGTGCCTGGCACTCCCTATGCTAAGTGTGCCCCGTGATATTATTCTGTCTGTTCTCCTCTGCAGGAAAAGCAGAGAAAGTGTCCAAAAGCTTGGAAGAGGCTGAGATTTTTTTTTTTTCCAAAAAAGCCAAAGCAGAATAATGCAGTTCAAAGGTCCAGCTCAAAAGGCCTTCCACTTCTTTCCTGTAATCACCAGTAGATGGTGGTGCCAGAAGTGGGATAAAGGTTGCGGAGATTCCCAAAGCTGGAAATTTTTTGCCCTTTTCACCCATCTTCCTGGAAACCATGGAAAGATATTGGGACAGAAACAATAAAATGTCCCTAATGACTAACCTGCAATTTTAACCAGACTGTCCCGAGTTTCTGCCTCACGGCTCCGGCTACCTTGTGGACCTCTCGGGGTTTCTCCTGAGCTCATCGACGTGGTACAGCCTGCCTCTACTTCCCTCCCTTTTCCCCCCTTCTGCCCTGCCTGCCAGAGCCTCTCATGGGCCTCCCCACATCCTCCCTGGTCGCCCACCCATCTGTCCTCTGATTGCTCTGGGCACATGCATGCCCCTCTCAGTCCCTGCTCCCACCCACCGCAGGGTCTTGGCGACCATGTGCCTGGAGGGCTCTGGTCTCCCTTCTCCTTGGCTTGCACTTTCTCCTCCTCCAGATCCAGGCTTCACTTCCTTAAGGGAACTTCCCTGACATCTGACTCTCCCTTTTAGGGGCAGTCACGTCACCTGCTCCTCCGTGAAAGCAGAGCTTTGGCTGTTCTGTTCTGTGCTCTTGCCCCAGGAGGTAGCTGGTGGGAGGCAGGTGCCCCATACGTATTTCTTGAACAGAACGCATGATGGCACAGGGAGTGACCTTTGCAAGGGGTGGTGTGGTGGAGATCTGTGCTTTGAATTATGGGAAACAACTGGGGTTTCAGGCTCCGTTAAAAAGGGAAGGCTTTTCCCAGGGACGGTACAGGGTAGACTACTCAAGCCCTCCGGGGCTGAAAGAGGGAAGATTGTGTCCAGCGCGATGTGGCTTCTAGGACGTTGCTGGGGGAAGGTGGGATCCCAGGCAAGTGCCCAAGATTTAGAAAGACATAGGATCTTTCTAAAAAACAAAACAAAACACCAGGAGGCTTTATCCCACCCACTCCTCCCCACCCCCACTGCGTCTGCCCTCGATGAAGTCCAGCCGCCTTGCCTCTCTGCCTAGGAGGCCCTCCCAATCTGGCCCTGTTGGTTTTCCTGCCCCATTGAGGGGTCACTCAAGCCCTGGCCACCAGCCTCCTTTCCATTCCTGGAACATGCCGAACTTGCTCCCATGTTCTGGCTGTTCCATATGCTGTTCCCTCCCTGTGTGCATCCATTCCTGGCTTGAGGACATGCGTCCACAGGTGACTCCTCACACTTCAGAACTTGACTGAGAGGCTCTCGTTGTCTGTTCTGTCTAGAGGGGACCACCGGGTCGCGTCCTCTGAGGGAGGATCACAACATCCTGGTGTTCCCTTTGTTTGCTAATTTGATTATTCCCTGGCATTACCTCTAACATATTTCCAAAGTTCAACCTCTTCTTGCTACCCCAACTGCCTCCACCTTGGTCTCGTTGCCATTACCTCCTGCCCTGTGGTCCCCGAGCTTCCACCCTTGCCCCCAATGTGCAGCCAGAAGGAGCCTGTGGAAACTAAAGCCAGATCACACCTGTCCCTTGCTCAGAACTTCCCATAGTTCCTATTCTCTCAGGGCGAAAACCAAAGTTCTCACGTGGTCCATGAGGCTGCCTGTGATCCGTGTCCCCCATCATCTTCTTGACCTTGCCCCCTCCTACCTTCCCTTTATTCACAAGTCTCTGGCCACACTGACTTCCTTGCTCTTCCTCAAATGCACCCTGCCTCAGGGCCTTAGCACTTGCCATTCCCTCTACCCGGAATCCTCTTCCCTTAGATAGCCCTACAGGGCTCCCTCATCTCCATCTAGTCTTTGTTCAGATTTCACCAGGCCTCCCTAGCCAAAATTGTAACCTGCCCCCCTCCCAGCTTCCATAGCACCTATAACCACCTGACCCCCTCCTATTTTTCTTACTGATGTTATTTACTCTCTGCACCCCCTTATTGAAGTATACACCCCAGTAGGGCAGGGAGCTCTCTCTTACTCACTGCTTTACTCCTAGAGCCTAGAGTAGTGCCTCGCACATAGAAGGTGCTCAATATATATTTCTGTATGCCTTGTGGCCTGCTGTGTCCTCAACTTGCAGGACAGAGTCGGACACGCAGTAGGCGCTTAACGGATATTTGCTAGCTGACCGAAGACCACAGGGAAAGTCAGTATTACAGCTGAAGCAGAGAGAGAAACGGATCCACGAGGGGGCTCTCCCCCATGACGCCTCTCCCACTCCCCGCCCTCACTGCTCACCTATGGCTCTGAGCCAGGTCACCCCCCGACTGGTGCCACTGGGGAAGGTGGCAAACTCGCAGGTATAGTTGCCCTCATCCTCCACTGTCAGTCCCCGGAGGGCCAGCGTGGCATCCCGCAGCTCCATCTCCGTGCCTTGCCTGGTCCCGGGGCTCTGCCCGGCAGTGACAAAGGACAGTCGCTCTTCGCCGGGCTTTGGGCCGCGGAAGCTGGGACCGTAGGAAGGGTGGAAGGCGGCCACGCTCTTGCTGACCCCGGCTGCGTCCACGTGCAGCCACGTCACCTGCGAGACTCGGACTTCAGGTCCTGGAGACAGCAGGTGGCACGGCAGCTGCACAGTGCCCCCCAGGTGGCCCCGCACCTCGGGTGGCACTCGAACTTGCACATCCTGGGCCCCTGGAGAGAAAGGGGAGAGAGAGCGGTGGGTGGGGGGAGGACCCGGACACCTCCAGGCCAGGTGGGGCCATCACTGAGGGGCCCCGCTGGGAAATGTGGGCCCCAAATGCCATGCAGGAGGTTTTGTGGGGTCCCCATTCCAAAAGGGCCACCCAGAAAACAGATTTCGAGGAAAACTAGGGATATAGGAGTCTGGGCTAGATTATGGGCTACTGTGGAATTTTCGCTAATAATCTTTTAAATTTTTTTTTTAAGATTGTATTTATTTAGGGGCACCTGGGTGGCTCAGTCGTTAAGCGTCTGCCTTCGGCTCAGGTCATGATCCCGGGGTCCTGGGATCGAGCCCCGCATCCGGCTCCCTGCTCAGCACAGGAACCTGCCTCTCCCTCTCCCACTCCCCCTGCTTGTGTTCCCTCTCTCAGTGTCTCCGTCAAATAAATAAATACAATCTTAAA